AGGTGATTCCATTCAGCTCATCAACTAACTGTTTCCTTTCTTCAACAGCAACATTACATATATCCTTTGTTCTGGATTTCAACTCTTCCAAATGTTCTTCTAACATTTCTTTACTTTCCTCCAAATATTTCAGCTTATTTACTACTTCCAGATGCTCCTTTGCCTTCTCTAATATCTCCGCAGTGGTTTCAGCTTTGAGTTTCTCAAGAACATGCTTCAAATTGCTCGACTGTTCTTTCTCTAGAACTAATTTCATTTGCAGGGTCACCAGCTCTCTTTGGCACTCTTCAATGAGCATGTCTTTGAAATAACTGTCATGCTCTTGGATGAGATTCAGAGAATTCAGATTTTCCACAAAGCCATAAAGCTGCTGGACCTCAAGCTGAACTTCTGAGAGCTTTGATGCAGCAGCATCGAGAAGATGCTTTATGTTAAGTTGAACAGACTCAACAATTAGTTGAATGTCAGCTATAGCATTTTCCTTCTCTGCAATTAGCATATACCAATCTGCCTCCTCTTGATCAAATATTTCCATGACCTCATGCTCTCTGCGTGTGTATTTCTGCTCAAAAAAACCAAGCCTTGTTTCGAGCTCCAAGAGCTTTTTGTCAAAGACTTCAACAATTTCAGAGTACCTGTTGTTCACTTCTAGAATGGATTTCTTAACCTCTGACTTGATAAGACTGGCCACATCAAGTTTTTGACCCAAATTATCTTCTTCCAGCACACTGATGTATTGCTGAAGCTCCTCGATGTTCCTGTCTCTCTCATCAACTATGCTTGATAACTTATCCTTTTCTTCTCTAAGGGTGCCCTCAACTTCAAATTTGGCAACAAGAGAAAGAACCAGGTCTCTCTTTAGTGCACAATTTTCATCCTTATAGCCCTTGAGGTTAGTTTGCATGTCAACTTTTAACTTTTCCAAACACTCCAGTGCTTGCTTTTGCTGATGAAAATTGATCTTGAGTTGGTCCAGCTCTTCCTTCATCTCAGAAACGGCAGAGTTTGCTTCATTGAGAGCAACCGATAACTTCTCATTTTCTTCTGTGTGGATCTCCTCAGCTTTCATTTTAGCAATAGTCGCGACATGAAGATCCTTCTTCAATACATTGTTTTCATCCACATAGCCCTTGAGTTCAGTTTGCATGTCAACTTTTATTTTTTCCAAACACTCCACTGCTTTCTTTTGCTGATGAATATTGATCTTGAGTTGGTCCAGCTCTTCCTTCATCTCAGAAACAGCAAAGTTTGCTTCATTGAGAGCAAACAACAGCTTCTCCTTTTCTTCTGTGTGGATCTCCTCAGCTTTCATTTTAGCAATAGTCGCGACATCAAGATCCCTCTTCAATACATCATTTTCATCAATGTAGCCCTTGAGTTTAGTTTCCATATCAACTCTCAGCTCTTCCAGATGCTCTACTTCTTGCTTTTGCTGGTGAAGGGTGATTTCGTTCTCACAAATCTTGCTCTTACTCTCGGAAAGGGCACAGTTTGCTTCATTAAGAGCACCTAGTAACTTTTCCTTTTCTTCCCTGAGAGACACCTCAGCTCCAATTTTGGCGTTAAGAGCAACGTCCAGATCTCTCTTCAGTACATGGTTGTCATCCATATAACCCTTGAGTTCAGTCTCCAAGTCAACCTTTAGCTTTTCCAAATGCTCCACCGCTTGCTTTTGCTGATGGAGACTGATTTCGAATTGGCTCAGTTGGCTTTTCTGATCAGCAAGGTCACGGTGTGCTTCATCCAGATCACTTAAAGCTTTCCCCAATGCCTCCTGTAGGCTCTTTTCCTTCTCTGAAGTTTCTTCTTTTAAGCAGTGAACATTTCTTGATGCATTGTCCAGCATTTCTTTGTATGCCCCGAGTTGCCTTTGCATCTTTTCATGCTCCTGCTCCATACATTCTAGCTGTTCAATTCTTCCGCGCAGTGTCGCCATTACCTCCAATTGGTGTCCCTGTTCAGCTTGGGACTGAGCAATGACAAGGTTCTTTTCCTCCAATTGATTTTTCACAGCAGAGACATTCTGCTCAAAAAATTCACACTGCTGCTGCATATTCAGCTTTAAAGTATCAATACATGAGCAGGAATCATAGAACTTTGACTCTACAGCAAGACGGACTATTGAAGCTTCCAAGTTCTCTACAGTTTGGATCTCCAGTGAGCTATAACTGCTCAGCAACTCATTCTGCAACTGCCGGATTAGCATATCTTTGGAATCCAGCTGTGACAAGCACCCATCAAGATCATTCTCAAGCTTTCCCATCTGTGCTTTCCACTCTGTTTCTTTACGACTCAGTTTCTCAGTGCAGCTTCTATGTGTCTGCTCCAAAGCTCGGAATTTCTCCTGCAGGCCCTTCAACATCCCTGCAGCATCTGCACCACCGATCTGAGCCTCTTGGTACTCCTTCAGCGAAGACCGCAGGTCGTCATTTTCTTGATCAAGCCGCGCCTTACAATACTCCATCTCATTGAGCAGAGTGGATTTCTCAGCCAGTGAGCTCCTCAAGGATGCAATCTCACCGTCCCTCTTCGACGTCAGCAACTCAATGGTCGACCTGGCCTCCTCATACTCGGAAACCACATTGCCATACATGTGCCTCAAATCACACATCTCTGCTTCGAGCAGCTTCCTGCGGCCTTCCTCGTGGGCCAGCGCTTGGCTGCACATTTCGAGCCTCGACCGGAACTCCTCGGCCACCCTTGTCTTGGAATCCAACTTGGTCTCAAGAGCGCCGATCTGATCAGCCAAGGTTGATCGGTCGGAGCCCCACTGCCTCTCGGCGTCTCTGAACTCATCTCGGACCTTCTTGAGAGCCTCCTCGAGGTGCCGAAACTGCTCGGCCTTCCACTTGAGCTTGCCCTGGATGGCGGCCTTCTCCTCCTCCAGCTTGGCGAGGGTGTCGTCCCTCATCATGACCTCCCTCTGTGCCAAAGCCCTCTGTTCAGCCTCCGAGCACCTCTTCTCCTTCTCTGACAAGAGCCTCTTGAGCCTTGAAATCTCCTCGTTGCAGGAGCGCATGGCCACGTCCTGCTCCAGCCGCTTCACCTCGGACTCCTCCAGCGCGGCGACGAGCCCCCTCCTCTCGGCATCCCAGCCCTCGCCCCTCTCCCGGAGGCTGGCCTTGAGGCCGTCGTGGGCGGCGCAGAGGTGCCGGAAGGCCTGCTCCTTCTCCGCGAACCTGGCCCTGAGGCCCTCGCACGCCTCCCTGGCGGAGGACGCCTCCTGGCCCTTGACGGCGATCTCCCCCGCCTGCCGCTCGACCTCCGCCCTGGCCTCCCGCAGCCGCGCGGCCTGCTCGGCGGCCTCCCGCCTGAGCCCGTCGACGAGGGCCGACTTGGCGCGGCACTCGGCGGCGCGGGCCTCCGCCTCGCACCGCAGGCCGTCCAGCTCCTTGCTCATCTCCTCCATCTCGGCTGCCCAAATCAGAACAAAAAATCGTCAGTCAGGCACGCGGGGAGAAAATCGACGGAATCTCGCGGAAGGCGAGGCGAGGCGAGCGCGCCACCTTTCTGGGAGGAGCAGGTCGGGAAGAAGGAGCGGGACATGGGTGCGGGGGCTAGAGATCCGGCATGGACGGGGCGGAAACCCTAGAAGGGGGAGGGGACGGGGGACAGGGGAGGAAAGATTTGGAATTTGGGCGGCGCCGTTGCGATTTACTCACCTGGGGGCTTGGGGCGGACGGGACGGAGAGGCCGGCCGTCTTGTCAGTGGGTTCGGCGCGGCCGCGGCGGCGGGGGCGGAACGGATCTGGGCGGGCGGGCGGGCGTGGCGGCGGCCGGGTCGGGGGGCTCCGTCTGGCGCTGCTCGCCGTTCTCGGCTTTTGAATTTGGCCGCGCCGGGAGGGAGGAGGGGTGGTGGCCTAGCCGGTAGGCCGACAGTTCATCAATTTTGGATGAGTGAGTGGGCTGACAGTGGGGTCCACATGAATTTACCAAAAAGATGTGGTGAAATTTGCCGAATTTTCAGAATGGCTGGAAAATCTGAAGCGTTTACAGTACTAGTAAATGGCACGTGCTTTGCACGTGTAGCTTTATGAATGTAGACCAACATCACCAAGTGAACTTTGCAACTCAAAATAAGTAAAATACTCCCTCTGTCGCATATTTTAGTTATCGCTACAACGGATGTATCAACAACAACTAATATAGGACAAAGGGAATAAATAGTTACTCGCTCCAATCCGAATTAATTGACGTGACTTCTATGCAATGTCTTACTTACATTGTATATAGGTTGCGTCAGTTAATTCGTATTGGATGGAGTATATTCTTTTTAAGACCGGATAGACGGCTTCCTGAGGTTGGCCTTTAACATAGCAAACCATCAATGTAGGAACACCCAAGGATTTTTTTTTTGAGTTTCCTGAAATTCATAGTTTGACACACTTGTCTTCAAACAAAAAGAAAAAACAGAGGAAAAATATGTGCTCTTTGTGTTTGGTACTTGTACATATATCATCTACTTCAAAGCTCAAGCTTTGTCCTTCTTATCAGATTTTACAGAACAGCATAAAAAATATACTCTAATGTGTAACAACATATTTACAAATTGCAACATAAAAGTTTCAGTTTTGATTAGGCTAAACTTCTTCGCAAAACATATTTCCCTAGACAGCTGACATTCCCCAATTTTCAGAGACATTTCCTTCAAAAACCATTTGCTACTGCACCATTGTAGACATGATCAGCTCTTGACATTCTTCTAGAATAGGCATCCGCATGGACTTGGTGCTTTGCAAACCTGCCCAGTAATTACATTTGTAAGGGAAAAAAATATTATACCACAAGGATGCACTTGGACAAAAAAATGCAAGAGGAACAGAGACAATTCTATGCTTGCAGGTAGCACCTTAAGTTACATTCACACGCACAAGATTGCATGTTTCTAATGTCATGAAATCAAGCATGGATGCACATGTGTAATTTTTATGCTTGTAAACATAAAGAAACTTGCAGTATTAGAAGTAACAATGACTAATACACCAATACCTGTATGTAAATTACATCAAGACATCTTTGTAGACGATTTTTTTGGTGCTTTTTCCCGATGGATCAATTTCCTTATTTGGCTTTGCAAGTATTCTTGTTGTTTGTCTTGACATCCCTCTTGATAAAGCAACATAGAGTTGACCATGAGAGAACACCGGCTCTGGAAGATAGGTGCCAACATTTGGAATAGTTTGACCTTGAGCTTTGTTGATTGTCATTGCAAAGCTGAGTCGAATTGGAAATTGCTTTCTTTTAAACTTGAAGGGGAGTACATCATCTTCTGAAGGATATAGAGGAATTCGTGGAAGGAATACTCTTTTCCCAGCATGTTGCCCGCCAATTATTTCTGCATCAATAGCGTTCTCTTGAAATGCTCTGATAATAAGTCTTGTTCCATTGCACAATCCGTTAAAAGGATCTAGATTGCGAAGTAAAATCACAGGACAATTAATCTTCAGTCGAAGGACATGTGGAGGCAGGCCATTAGGTGTGAGTGAGTTTAGAAATTCAGGTGGGTAGTAGTTATGTGGATCATCCACTGCTGAATCAAAACTATAGTAGATTTGTTCTTCCTCAGGAAACCGATCAATAAGCTTCTCGTTTAGTTCATCAACATATTCATTCTTGGTGGAGAGAATGGCGCGAGTACTAATATAAGATGGTGATATTCCATTCTGGCCAAGTGAAGGAAATATATCATTAATTAACTTACTGACAGAGTGTTTTGGATCTATGTATGGTACAACAATTTCATCTGGTAGGCGCACATAATCTTGGCCGATTGATTCTTCTGTACCATCACCAATTCTTAACAGAAAATCTGAGAACCATGGATCAGATTGTGCTCTCATATTACGCCATAGTTTTATTTGTTTTATACACCGCCAAAGATACGATTTCTTTAGTGTAGCATCTGTAATTTGTGCTCTTGTGCCTCGCCTCACTACAGGGAGAACTTGTCTGAAATCTCCTCCTAACACTATGACCTTTCCTCCAAATGGAGATAGAACACCAGTAATATCTTGCAAGGATCTATCAAGTGCCTCCACAGCTTGACGTTTTGTCATGGCTACTTCGTCCCAAATTATCAAGGACGCTCTCCGAAGCAACTCTGCAGTCCCACTCTGTTTACTGAAGCTGCACAAACTGTCATCATGAATATTTACTGGTATTTTAAATCTCGAATGTGCTGTCCTACCGCCCGGCATGATGAACGCTGCAATTCCAGATGTTGCAGTTGCAATTGCTATTAGCCCCATGGAACGCATTTTAGCGAGTAAAGCTTTATAGAGATGTGTCTTTCCTGTACCTCCTGGACCATCAATAAAGAATACCTTACTCTTCTTCTGTAGGACATGATGCATTATCTCATCAAAGGCAAGTCTTTGCTCACAATTTAGTGTTGCATAAAGGTCCAGATGCTCTGGATCAATATTAATAGACATCTCTTCTATTACTTCTCTACAATTAGAGCCAGCCAACTCAGTGCCATCTAGCATTTCTGGAAGATCAAAGCAACTGATGTCCTTCCCCATTGAATATAGGATATCACTAATATCTCTAAGTACCATCTGCTCTATAGATTCTTTATCAGTTGCGCTGCCCTGCTGAAAATCATCAGCCATGGCCTCAAAATGCTTTTCCCATAATTCATGGACATTTTTTACCTCACAGAAAACCAATATTGTAGCACAAAGCCTTCTAAAGGCAGAAGGCATTGCAAATGCCGCAGCCTCGCTCAGACAATCAGAAATACTACAATCAGCCTCAATCAGACCCCTTCTTTCTGCGGCCTCTCTAAAAGTGGCAAAAACAAAACCATCGACAGTCCGTAAATCCTCAAAAGATGTAGCCCCTCTCACATGATTTAGCAGTATCCTCAAGTAATAGCGTTCTCCTTCAGCTGGGTGTGCAACGACAAGTCTCCCTACTTGTATTCTCTGTTTGCGACGTTTCCAGCTCTTGGTACTATTATTCCATACAAAAAATTCTGGGAATTCCTTGTATAAGAAATTCCTGGCATAACTATCAATAGAGTTCATTCTGAAGTATTCAGTTAGCATTGTTCTCGAAGACGATCCTTTGCAGACCACATCCTCTAATTTTTCTGAATCTTTATAGTGAACAAGGTGCATATTTGGCAGACGGACTTGTAGCTGTATAACTGATGGATACATCTCACTAAGGTTGAAAGAGTAAATCCTCTAGATTGCTTCCGGAGGTGAAATAAACCTTGCATCTCTATACTCATGAATTTCATTAATAACTGCATCATCTTCTGCGGCTTCGATGACAATGGAGGCACGATCATGACCTTTGTAGATGTATTTGAATAAATATTTCACAACCTTGACGCTAGAGCAAACTTCAATATTTATATGGCAATTGTATCGAATAAGTAAATAGGGATTGTATGGGACAACCCATCTATTATCCGAAACTGCACCCCTGATGCGCACTCGACGGCCGTCATTCCTGCGCCTATAAATTGGATAAGAGTCCTCTCCTTGTTGTGTAGTCTCTGCGAAATGTCGAGGATAATGATACCGACAACTTCCATTTTCATGCAAGGATTATTTATGTTGAGAACTCCACATGGGCCGTGCATCATGTGCTTAATAACTAAATCATGCAGCATAGGATATTTATCATTATCAGGAATTTCAGCTGATATTATCTCATCATATTGGTCCGGATTAGTTATCTTGTAGTTTGATTTCAGAATTATTAAAAAATGTGCATGTGGTAGACCTCTTTTCTGAAATTCAATTACGTGCACATGTGCAGCAACTTCACCAAAGAATTTCTTCTTAAACAAAAGATCCTTTAAATCCTCCAATTTTGCCTTGAAGACTCGTGCTACCAAGTCCGGCCTGTCTTGTGGTGATTGACCTTCTGCTAGTTCTCTAGTTATCTCTTCCCAATGTGGGTTGCAAGTCATTGTAAGGAATATGTCTGGTTTCCCAAACCGTTGGACCAAAGCCATTGCATCCAGATATCTTCGACGCATATCTCTTGGTCCTCCGATAAATGATGGGGGAAGCACAATGCGCCTACCTGTCATGCACCCACGTGTTTCACCGGCAACAATGCTATCGACCAATCCTTGATACAAATCTGCTCTGATGAGAACCTGAGTTGATGGCTTTGACAAGAATGCCAATCTTATTGATTCAATCTTAATGTACATATCAACTATATATTGTTGAGTCAATCGCCTTCCAAAGAGTAAGATGTTAAACTTCCCAGGTCTAATTTGCAGCTTGAAACAATAATATTCTCTTGGTGAGATGCAAGAACCAGAACTATTCTCTAGCATTCCTACAGAATCCAAAATAATATATGATTATTAAATAGTTCTAGAAACTAAAACTTTGAGCATGTAACCAATTAATGTATGATGGAAACTTACCTTCTATATCAAAATCATTTGCTTGATTGTCTATTATTTTCCTAGCATGTTGACTTAATCTGGGCAGATCCAAGTTCCATCCGACCTCTCCGTTTGGGAAAAACAACGGATATGATAGTGGATCATAGCAACCATGATATGCTTTTATATATTGTGGACGGTCTGATACACCATAAATCATGATACTTCTATCAAAATGACCTCGAGGATCGCTTCCCTCGACCCAAATTGCTGCCACCTGTGATGCTGTCGGAGCATTATATACTCTCTGGTCTAAAGCAATATTTGTGTTGAGCTCAATCCTATACTCGCAAAGGTTTGGAATGGAGCCGAGACTTCTAAAGATATGGACATAAGGATTAGATGAGAGTATGCCCAACAATTTTCTGATGAGATCTTTATCAAGGTTAGGTGAATGACGAAATCTTTGCTGTAAATCTGCATCAGTGTCATAAAAGTACAGTTGTAGATGCTTGGGCCCATCATCCTTTGGCACTAATTGGTCAATTCGATGATAAATTTGACCTTGTGCGCGGAATGTGTAAACTCCAGATCTGTTATTGCAAAAACATTGATCCAAGACAACACCAAGAGATGTAAAGGAGAAGTGAGAATTGAAGTAACGTATGTTATCCCGGAAATACTTCGCATCTGGATCTTAGCTGCTGTACAGTCGACGTAATTCATCAGGGACTGGTGGAGTTACTATTTTAACTTTTCCACCCATGCAACAAAACGTTGGTTTCTCATACTGGAACCTTTTTGCATTGCAATGCCTACAGTCAGGAACTGGATCTAGAAGATGATAATCAGTGGGTAAATTTTGATATATATGATCATATGGATCTGCCTGAATGCAACTTTGGGCATTATTATTTTCTAAATACGACTGAAATTCAAAACCTGCATTTTTTATTAGGCTAGATTAGAAATACAAATCATATTTAAAAGTAATATTGTCGATTAAGTACAGTAATACTTACCATGCCCACTAAACATACGAATTTCTTCATCAGAGTCATCATTATATCCAAGCATTTCTCCTGTTTCCCCAATGTTATCTGTTGATTGTCAAATCATCATATACGTCACACAATGTTTTATATGGACCAATATAATAGATAAATGCTAGTTGGTACTGAGATTACCTTGAATGGCAGGAAAAGAATCCTTTGGCAGGTAGATGAGATCTTCATGTTGACGGCTGGTATGACCTTGTAGTTGCACATGAGTATATCCAACTGTATTTTGTAAATTACTACTGATTGCCCCATCAGATGTATCTTGTGCATGGCTGCAACTTGCGTCTTGAGACTTTCTTCTTCTTTTATACTCACGGCCTCTTTGTAAATATGCTTCTTTTTGTTCAGGTGCCAATTGGGAATACCAGCTAGTGCCGTGTCGCCGCTTACATCCACTGTTATTTTTTTGCGCATCAATTACAGCTTGGCCTTCCGAAGCAATAGGAGATACAGAAATTCCAGATGGACTGATCTTCAGCCGAGTACCCTTTTTTGGGTGGCACATGTTTGGCTGAACAAGGACGCTTTGGTCAGATGCAGACACATCATAACTATCGACTGTTGTCACTGTTTTTGACATTACAACAAACAAATTAGTCTGTAATATTAGTAAACAAAAATGTATTAGTACTGAATTAATATATTTTTATCAACCTCGTTTCCTTTTTGTCAGACACCTACTTTGATGGACCCCTGAACTGTGTGTCATAGAACCTGAAAATGGAAGGCTTTCTTGTTCTTGTAACATAGTCACGGCTACTTCTTTCCCTGGCTCACAAATTGCAGACTAATGTCACCACCTAATCATGTATAATGAAGATGCTTATTTTACTTATCATCACACAACAAAGTACCTTCTGGCGTCGTAGAAGATTCAGTTGGCAAGTGTGTGTTATCATTGGTACTCATATTGGTCTCCCCTCTTACGGGTTGCACAGTCTTACTAATTGCACTGTCACCTCGCTTGATTCGTTTGGACTCATGATTCCTTTTCAAATAAGCTTCTCTCTGTTGTGGCGTCATCTGCATATACCTAACCCGATCACGGTAACGTTTGCGTTGAGAAGGATCCGTTGGTACAGCACCGGTTTGTTCAGTTAGGTGACGATATTGATCTACAATCATCAGCTTAATGAGACACACACAAGAAAAGATTGGTACTAAACTGGAATTTACATTTCAGGGCATGCAGAGAGAGAGAGGGGGGGAAAGAGAGAGAGAGAGAGAGAGAGAGAGACAGAGAGAGAGAGACAGAGAGAGAGAGAGAATGTTCTTTAGCCAACAATCATTTTTTCATGGGTAAACAGAAAATATGAATTCATTATCGCAGTTGATGTCCGTCAGTAATGAGTGTCAATCATATTTCTATCAAAATAAATATTTTAAATGTGAACAACGAAATGGCCCAAATAAAATAGCAGAGTCATAAAAAATCAAGAAAAATAATCAAATCATCTTTCGTGACACACTTATCTCAAAACATAGTAGCTTTTGTAGTCTACGTACAGAATCTGCAACTTACACTGGCTTAGTCAAAAACGCAAACACCTTGCACGCAAAGAAATAGCCAAGAAAATCAACAAGGTATAACCAGCTAATCCTAATGACAGGAAGCAATCTGACATAAAGGAATCCTCCAAACTCATAACCATCAACAGAAAAAGAAAAACGGGAATGTAGAGAAGGAGCAACTCACCTGTGCTTTCCTCCCGTGCTGTTGGCCGTCCGCACAAAGAATGTGTATTGTACATGGCGGCTTGCCGGTGTACGGCGCGGCTGGAGAGAGCGAAGAGACGAAGACGCGCGAATCTGAATGAACGGAGACGGGGCGCAAGAGTGGCACACTTCAGAACAACCAAGCCCTGCGATCTCAATAGCAAGGTCGTCAAAGAGTTGAGGTACTCTGCAAGCAGATGGAAATGGAATTTTA